GAAAGGTTTTACTCATTAACAGCAAGCATATAATAATAAACACCTACTATGTGCTTGAAGTTATCATCACTTCACGTTAGATAATCAAAGATGGTGACTGTATGATTACAAAGGCCTAAGATGCTGAGCATCTGAGCTCGACAAGTCTGTGTGGTTCACACCATGCCCTGTTTCCTCTCTTTCATTGCTCTCTCCTTTTATTAATGGGAAACTTGTCTGAGAGAGAGGGGTAAGTGTTTTTTAGAGATTAAAATTGTCCATTTCTATGATAGTTCTTTTTTATGGGTTTTAAGGATTTACAAACTGTTTATTAATCTCTGACTACCCTTTCTTATAGATTAGTCCAATGTTGAAGCCTTAACACTTTAAGTACAGTAAAGCCCTCAGTTGCCACCATAGAAGATTTTTTTCTTCTTGGTTACAAGCTATCTCCCAACTTAACCTCAGGAGCTGGTGGTATTTAGTCTTCACCAGCCTCTACTCCTTAGCCACTAAAGGCCACCTCCATTTTTCCTCTGCAGTCCCTAAATGCTATCCTCCAATTCTCAATCCCACTTCTACTTTGGGCCACAATTCTTACCAAAACTTATTTCCTTTCAGGCTTCGAGTTATACTTACCAGTTGACCAGTCCTTATATATTCATGGGAGGTTAGTTCCCTTCAGTTACACTTATGAAAATCTATAGATACTCAAGTCCCTTATTTTAAATGGCATAGCATTTGCATAAAGCCTACACATATCTTCCTGTATATTTTAAATTAGCTCTATATTATTAATAATACCTAACAATATAAATACTATGTAAATAGTTGTTGCACTGCACTGCTTATGGAATAATGACAAGGATAAATTTCCATATGTATTCAGTACAAACACAATCACCCCCAGCCCCTCCAGAGTATTTTTAATTCATAGTAGGTTGAATCCTGTGGATATGCACAGTCAACTCTAATGTTCTTTTTTTTAAACTTTATTTATTTATTTTTTTTTACATAGTGCTGAGGATGGAACCCAGCACCTCACACGTGCTAGGCAAATGCTCTACCACTGAGCCACATCCCCAGCCCCCAACTCTAACATTCTATTAACTTATTTCTGGGTTTAAAAAGCATTTTAGAGCTAGCCCAGAAATCCAAGTTCTGTATTATAGTTTCTGCTGTACATTCTAAATGAACTAATTTAGATGCAACATTTGAGATGCATGTATTTTGTAGGTTTCCTGTTTTAAGGCAAAAATAATTGGATTTTTCAAGAAGTATCTGAGGAGAAAGAGACAGACTGCTAAACACCCTCCATCCTCATCAGGGATTTAGTTAGGTTTGCAGTGATGCTATTCACTGTTACATATGTTCAAACAATGCAAGTTTTATAATAAATTGTGTCCAAAAATCAAGTACAACATACATACTGCAGAATTATTTTGTATAAAGTGCCATCTAATTCTTTGCTCCCAACTCTCTCAGCCTCACCAGTCACCTTGAACTCTACGACAGTTCTCTTATCTGTTCTATATCTACAAAGTAAGCAGGGTTGAACGGTTTTCCTGTCAGAGTCCCTTTGAGTGAAATGAATGAAAAAACATAATTAATAAAGGTAGAGAACTTTTAGCTGAACCTTCTCAGCTCAGTGACCCACCTGTGATTCTTGGCAGAGTCTAATAAAAACCTATCCTATGTATAGTTTCTTGAATGAAGGGAGAAGAGGTTCAGAGCAGTTTCTGGTATCTGTATAATTAAGAACCTTACTACCAACACTTTTAGGGGCATTGCATGAGGAAATTCTCAGCCAAAGAGCAGGCTTTCCTGACCCATAAGGAATACAGACCTCCAAGAGAAAAAAAAAATGTAGCTGCTATTCCTGCTAGACAACAATAGCAGCTAATAAGAAACAAATTCTAAAGGCCAATACAGTCAATATTTTTTTAAATATATATATTTATTTTTTAGGTGTAGATGGACACAGCACAATGTCTTTATTTTTTTTTTTTATGTGGTACTTAGGATCGAACCTGGGTCCTGCCCATGCTAGGCGAATGCTCTACCGCTGAGCCACAATCCCAGCCCCAATACAGTCAATATTAAGACAATATTGCATATTTCAAAAGTTTAATGACAATAACAGTGACTCAAAATTCAATAATAGTGGGACATATTAATTAACTTTTTATATAATTAAATTCTGGATCTCTTGAAGTCAGTAGGCAGATGAATAAAAATTAAATATTTTTATTTATTTTTAAATTATTTGTTGTTGTTGTTGTTCTTTTTAGTTATACATGACAGTTAATGTTAAATAAATGTTTTGACCAGAGTTTCTAGCACCTAAGAAAACTGAATGACAAGCTTGGATCCTTTACCTAAAGGTCCCAACATGATTGTTCTGCTACCTTCATTTTAAAAAAAAATTTAGATATTTTCTTATTAAAAACTGAAGTAAGTCATGCAATCAATGTGAAGCAGCTCCTTCACTTACTGAGAATTCTCTTTTTCTTAGGAATTCATTTAGTTTTTATTTCATGATCAGAAGAATAGCTTTAATGGAATAGTTATGTGAGGAATAAAGATAAAGGTGGGCAGAGGGTATAGTTGGCAAGAGCACTTCAAGACAAACCTCTGTTTTTGTTTTGTTTTGTTGTTGTTGTTGTTTTTGTTTGGGTACTGGAGATTGAACCCTGGGTGCTTAACCACTGAACCACATTGCTAGCCATTTTTATTTTTTATTTTGAGAGTGGGTCTCACTAAGTTGCTTAGGGCCGCCTTAAATTGCTTAGATTAGCCTCGAACTTGCAATTCTCCTGCTTCAACCTCCTGAGTCACAGGGATTACAGACATATGCCATCATGCCTGGCAAAGGCATCCTCTGGTTTAGAAGATTATATATAAATCTCACGTTTGTCTCTAAAACTTTGACTACACTGGGAGTACAGTTCCTAGCATTTACAAGTACAAGAACTGGCTTTGAAATATATTTAGGTTCTAATTTACCAATGGCAAATCTTGGTAAAAAACAATTTGGAAATGAAAAATAGTATTCATTTGGTGAACAGTAATTTGACCAAGACAGGCGAAGAAATAGACAGAGCCTTGAAACTGGCTCCTGTCAGGATTAACGGTTTTGTCTAGATCACTTAGTTTCTGGGCCTGGATAAAATGAGGATGATAATTACACTTGTCACCAGAAAATGCCAGTGTTGGCCTTTGAACTCCTCCACAATGCCTGCACTGTGTAACTGCAGTGTCCTAGAACTACGATGCTCTTAGGACAACATTTTGCAATTCCACTATGTGGAACTACAAAATTGGATGAAGACCAAAAAAAAAAAAAAAAAAAATGTATTTTCTCCCTGTCTAAAAATGAAAGCCTGTCTAACTCAAAATTTAGGCATATCCTTTAAAAGATATGAATAGTAAATACAGAATCCATTTTCTTTTCTAGATTTAAATTGTTTTCCTCAGACTATAAAAAAAATCCAACACATACATATCTGTACTTCCACTTGAACACACAACTAATGCCCAAAGTATACTTATTTAATGTGCAAAGTATCTTTTAAAAATCTGCTTTAAGAGATCACTGTGAGGTTCAATAAGGTAATCTACTGAAATCCATACCTTTTAGCTTTTCAAAATTTCAGTTTCACTCTAACTCAGAAGCAGGAAGCTAAGCCTGGTCCTGGGATTCTCCTACCCTAAGGTCCTCAAGAGCAGGTTTCTAAGCTCTAGGTTGAGTCCGAAGTTTGTTTCCTCCTGCACACCTCTCTCTGCAACACACTAATATCCCTTGATCCATCACTCTGTTCCTTACTCCCCATCCCTTGGCTTACTGAGCTTTCTCTTCCAGCCAACTCTGAGCCTCCTATAACAGAGAGACATTATGTGTATAATGTTTAATGTCATTTGTACCATTTTTTTCCTGCTAAGGAATGCTAAGTAATACTAGCAGAAAATTTGAACTAGTTAAATAAAGCACGGATTCGTTTAGAAGGTACTTTAGTTAAAATTAACTTAGTTCTTTGGTACTACAAAATGCCTATTCCCAACTCCAGGTTGCTGGTGTAATACTCTGAGATTTTTGTCCAAACAAAACTCCTATCAGATTGATCTAAAGTGCTTGTTGTACATGGAATTCCAGAGCCCCACGTTTGCCTAGAGGCTGAACCAGAACCACTGAGGAGAGGGCCTGGGAATTTGCTCTGAGTTTTTAAAAGTCTCTCAGGTGATTGTCCAGCAGACCACTTCAGAAGCTCTGTTCCAGGTTCTAGCAAGGATGTGGTCTGGAGCTCCCCAGTGGCAGTCTCTCACAACTTCTTATAAATGAAGATTCTTCCCCTTATCCTCTGAGACCTACCGAATCTGAATCGGCATCTGCATGTTAACACATTCTCCAGGGGATTCTGTCACACACTAACAAATTCCCCAGGCGATTCTGCGGCACACTAAAGAAAAGCTTGAGAAACACGGCTGAACCCTGGTATCTCTGAGGAAGTTTTACAACCTACCTACCGATACCTGGGCCCCACCCAGAGATTCTCCTGTGCTTATTCAGGGGGTGCGGCCCAGGCAACGGGCCCTAACAGAGCTCCCCAAGTTAGGTACAACCAAGGTGAAGGGCCGTTGTCCCCCATATCGCAGCGCTTTATGGTTTAGCAATAATCTGAGTTAAATTGGCTTTTGTGGGCTCGACTGGGACCTCAAAGACTGCTGAAATAAACAGTGCTTTTTGAGGGACAATAGACTCTGGAGGCAAACAAGTTCCACCACAGAGCTTTAGGTTTACAAAACCCAAAGGCTGGAGACTTCCTACACCTTCCGGCGTGCTAGAAGGGCGCAACCCAGGCGGGGAGTCCCGGGCGCCCCCACCCGGGCCCCGCCCGGCTCGCCCTTCCCCGCCCCTCTTTCCCCGTGACGTGCCGCAGCGGGCTGGGAACATGCGCACTCGCGCCCCGCGCCCCGAGCCGCTGCTCCGCCTCGGCGCCTGTCATTCTCCGCGGCGCGGCGGCTAGTGCGGACTGCGGTCCCCGCCTGCCAACTCGCTCGCCGGCGCGCCCGCGATGTGACTGATCCTCTGGGGGCAGGCTGGCAGCTCTGCGGACAGCAGTACCTTGGCTTTTTCTAGTACGGGGTTTCTTGTTGAGCTGTGCTTCCCTCCAAGGCGGAGACACGCACCAGGGGCTCAGAGCGCAGCTTTCCGGGGCCGACGGCAGCTGCAGCGCTAGGGTTCGCGCGGCCGGGTGCAGTTTTAGTCGTCGCCGCCGCCCGGTGGTGCGCCCTGGCGAGTGCCAAGGCGCCGGGCATCGCTGAGCCGAGGCGCCTGGTGCAGAGCAGCAGCGCTTAGTCCTGCAGCCGCAGCTGCCTCCGGCCACTGCAGGAGCCAAGGGGCTGCGCGCAGCCAGAGTTTGCAGGGGTTGCCTTGAAGCCAGTCCTCAAGAACACTCCTGGACTCTTGCATCCCGGTAAGTTGACTTTGAGTTTTTGAAGTTGGAGGGAGCCGTGGGAAGGGGAGGTTCGTTTTTATTATCTTCGTGTTGTGCGCAGACAGGAGTGGCTCCTCTTATTAACAGGATTTCAGTTAGGGGAGGGAGTGCAGGGTCCCAAGAAGGGGATCCGCCACGGGATCTAGCCCAGGACTAGATGGCTCCAGCCTCTGGCGAAGGTTGCCAGTTGGGAATGTGCTGGGAGAGGACAGGTGCTCCGAGGGCATTTCGCCTGCTGCTAATTGCACATTCGAACTCCTTGACTTTGTGTGTGTTGTGTATGCCGGGCAGGGGCAGGTCTGCAGGGTCTTGTCACCTCTATTATAAGTGCTCTGGGGAGGACTCTCGTGTATGACTCCTGGATGGTCAGCACTGTAATGGATCTTTGGGAACCGAAGCTGAGCCATTCCTTCTCAGGCCTGCAGCCTTCCCGCGCATCTCTCTTTTCTCCTCCCCTAGGCAGAAGTTGCCAACGTTCCCATAATTGGAGCCTAGTCCTTTAGGGAGAAAAACAACTTATATGTCAACCCAGTGTTTCGTGCTCTAAGGCATATAGCATGAGAAAAAAAAATGTTCTGTGCGGCATATGATTTCATACACTTTAAGGATGTGGGCAAGTCTCAAAGAAATAGGATTAAGATGATGACACCTGGGTTTCACAGGGATTGTCCAGCACCTCTTATGTAAGCCTCCCAGCTGGATAACTTTACCTCTCTGCAGTGGCTGCAGCTGTGGCTCTTCATTCCATTTGTTTAAGGTCCAGCTCCAACAGTATTTAATGAAAATGCTGACATGATATAGCAGCCTGTAGTCAGAAACAGAGTGCACTCTTCAAATTGGAGTGTCTTCTGGTAATAGGGAGCAGGGGAGGAAGAACCCAGTATATTTTTCAAGGCAGCTCCAGGAATTAGACACATAAATCATGTTTTAAAATAGCATGCATTGTGCAGAGAGCATGTAAAGGACCCTTTTGGAACACATCCCCTTTGTTTTAGAAAAAGTAGAAATTGTTCATACCAGACAGTTGTTGAGTCTTAAAGTTAAGTGTACTGATGGGTTTAATTATCTTAATAAACAAAGAGCATGATTTATAGGTAGCTGCATTATCCTGCTTTGAAGGATAGAAATCTTTAACCTTTATTTCTCAGCTGTCCCCTAGAGATTCCTTTTAAACAGAGCAATAGATTATCATCATTGATGTTTAATATTTGAGTTGATTAAATTTGTAAAAGGAATACTTTGAAATACCGTCTAGCACTGTGGTAAGGCTTATTAGATAGTGATATTCGAAATAAGAGAAATATTTGGAATATTTGTGCAAGTCATTAGTTTAACAAAATGTATCACATTAAGACTTCCCTGAAATACATATATGCATATATATATATATATATATATAGGCACACACACATATATATGTACACACACATATATATGTATACATGGAAAGAGAGAAATATGTATACATCTATTTGTGAATTTGGACTTGATGTCTTTCTTTAAACCAAAACTTCAGGATATATACTAATGTAAGGTTTATTTGGGTAATCTAGAGAGAGAGCAGTTATTTATGATGTTCCAACATACAAAACAAGATGAACTAGTTATAGATACTTTATTTAAAATGTAGTTTTTATATTAAAAATTCTTAGAAAATATAAAAATATGTTACTTCAAAATTTGAAAAGTTAGTCAATATGTTGTAGTTCATGAAAACATCTGAGTGCTTACCTGTAGAAGAGATTTCATCCAAGCACGGAATCTCAAACAGTTTGACCCAGAAAGCACTACTGTATTATGGTTAGGAGGACAGCATATGAGGCCGGGTTGCCAGCTCTAGTACCATCTGTTTGAATCTGAGAAAGTACATAATCTCTCAATGGGCCTCAGTGTCTCTAGCTGTAAAATGGGAATGACAGTAGTACTTACCTCCTTGGATTGTGGTGAGGATTAAAGGAGTTTATACATGTAAAGCTATTGAGCCACTATCTTGCATATTAAGCTTGCCCTGGATAAACTTATCCTTGCATCTTTGGATATTGTAGACATTGAATGGCTGTTGATGGAGGGCAATAGAAGTTTACAGGTATAACAATATCTTTTATATAATTTTATTTATTCAAGTTATAAATATTTGTTGGGTACCTACTAATCATACCAATACCAGCTGATATTTGACTTAGTGTCTCCCTCACTCCTTCACTATAGGCCTATGAGACAGTTTGCTTGATCTACATGTTAGGGATGAGGAAACTGAAGCTCAGTGAGATCAAATAGCAGAGGTTGGAGCTGATATTTTAAACCATGTCTGTTTGAAACTATGTTCTTTTTGACCCTTCTGCTTCAAGTTGCAAACAAAATAAGTGTATTATTATCTTCAATTTACAGATGAGGAGATTTAAGCTTAAAGATTAAAGTATGCAAAATGCTTAACAGCCCCCCATCACCCAGTTTTCCATGACTGGGAGCTATTATTACCATCATAATTATTGTTAAATACCCTGCCCTGGTAGCATACCTCCTTGTGTGCAGGAGAGATGCCAGGTAAGGTGCATTTTCTTCGCCAATTAGAAGTGGATTCTGTTGCTCCGCTGCCCATTCATATAGTCAGAGTCAAAAAAAGAAAAATTGGTCTGATATTGCAGTTCACACTGAAGGTTGTTGCTTTCTGTTTTGTTTCCTGCCCACACACATAGTTGCAGCAATCCACATAGTCAAGTAAAACACCGCAAGCAGCAATAATCAATCCACAAATGGCATCATCCCTGAGCATAAATTCAGCCCCTGCTGGAGGGCTCCCCTAGAGTAGAGAGAAAGGCCTTGTACTTTGCCTCCTACTATATGTTCAGATATGGGAATAATTTCTCCTTCACATAAATATGTCTGCTTCCTTTTGGCCTCAGTTCCAGTGACCTTGGAAACATTTTCAGGGATTCTGTGGGAGTAGGATTAAAAGTCTTCATAACCCATTGAACTTCTCTCCCGAGTTCCAGTGATTGAGAGGCTGTGGTATTTTTTTGGCTTTCTTAGGTCATTACTCAGATATTAGGTAGGGTTCGGGCCTTTGGTAAATCTTTATTTTCTAGATAGTAAAATCCAATTGTGTGTAAGTACATAGGTAATAGCCTGCTCACACATGGGTTCAATGTTTAATGAAACCTCTTAGCTAATATATCTACCAATGAAAGGTAGTTCAAGACAGATGTTCAAGGTTAGCTTTCTTTTTTTTCTTTCTTTTTTTTTTTTAAAGATCAGAACTCCCCAGGAGTGAGCTTCCTGTAGGCTGCTTCCCTGTGCCTGGGGACACAAGCAGTTGCATTGTGCCAAAGAGAGCCCTTGCTGCCAACTGAGTCATCTCACATCTCTCTGAAATAGCTTCTACTTCAATTTTAGCCATCCTTTTCAGAGAATAGATACTCCCCTTGGTTCAGTCAATAGCCATATTTCAAATGTTCCTCTGCTCTGGGTTTTTCTAGAGTAAAAGTCTCCCTTGAGCACTTACTTCTGTGACTTGAGCTAAGTCCATGATTTACTATTAGTTAACTCTTCAGAATTTGCATGTTGTTTTATTTCCTGTTATTTAGTAGGTTGTCTGTGGACATATTTAAATCTGCAAATAACTTTTTCTCTGACACTCAGTTTACTTTAGCCTTCATAAGACACATGTGCAAGAAATACAAACTCATTTTAATATGGATATAAGCGAATAGAGATCATTTACTCTCCCCAATTATATCTGCTATTTTGAATTTTCATTTTGGATATAAGGAGTAGGGAGCGGATATTTCTAGAGCTCTTACATCATGCACAGTAAGAGATATGTTAGGGGGTCATACAAGTTTCTGGTTGTACAAGCAAGCAGGTGCCACCTGGAAGAGTATGCCTCAGAGCCGGGTGATTGCAGAGTTCTTGGGCATGGGGTAGGAATGAGGGGAAGACAGCTCTGAGCATGATTTATCTGATTCTATTCCTAGTTCGCACTGGTTGGCCCTTCTGAATAAGAGTTGGAATGAGTAGCTAACAGGGAGCCCTTACCATGTGCTGGCTACCATGCTGACCACATTTCATACAGTATTTCTCGTAATCCTCACAGTAATCTTGTGTGGTAGTTAACCTTCGTGTCATCTTTTGCAGAAGAGAAAACTGAGGTCTAAAAAGGTCAGGGCATTTGTCCAGGGCCACATGAGTGAGTTTCATAATAAAAAGTGGAACCTAGAGCTTTCTGACAAAATCAGTCCACTAGATACAACATTCTACTACCTCTAGTGTTGAGCCTTCATGATATTGTGTAGGTATGCTCTGTTATTTTCAAAACTTTCTGGCCCATAGCCAACAGCTGGAATGGACTGCTCAGGAAGTATTATCTCCATATCTTTGTACAGGAAGAGCTTAAGCTTAGTTCATGCAAGTGCTCAAAAAAGAAACCCACATGTTCATTTTGTGAAATAGGAAGCACAAACCCTTCAGCTGATGTGAACACAGTGGAACTGCATGTTCACTTTATCTGTTCAGGAGCAGATGCTTGCACTATTCTTATTAAAGAAAAGAAGTGGAGAGGCCTGAGATTTTTCTCCAGGTGGTATTAAAAAAAGTTTATTTAAATTTTAAAAAAGCATTAATAACTTGTCACTGAAATACTGCATCAGTGTCATCTGTCATTCACAAGGAGCCTAAGGTTTTTAGAGGAAATGCATACATATGGCTGAAAGTAAGTTTCAACTGTGTTGTCTCAGAACAAGAAATTCGCATCAATCTCCTCTGGCTACATATAGCCTTCCTAACTCCATTCCAAATGGAAAGTAAAAGAGAGAATTCAAAGCCATGTTGTAATATTTTCAGAATCTGCTTCTGTTTTATCTTGATTTCACACTGAACCCAACATGTGTTCAGGAAGTTCTTCCTGTCCCCTGAGATTTGAATGATGAAGTTAACGACTATCATTATGATATTTTGGCATATCATTGACGTTTCCTCTACTC